GAATAAATCATGTTTTTTTTTTAAGCAGAAATTTTATAAAAAATACAAAAAATATTAATAATTAAATAAAAAATTAATGAAAAAATTATAAAATTTTGAAATGATTTTGTTCTATTTACTTGCAATATTGCATGAATAATTTCAAAAATTAATCTTCTCATCAGCATTAAATAAGAAAAAAAATTTCATTTGCAAATTTTTTATAAAAGTCTCGTCAATTAATTATAACTTTATTTTTTGGAATAAAATATTATGAAAATTATATCTTGAAAGTTTTTTTAATTCTTGATTAATAGTTTTGTTAAAATTATTATATTTTAAAACCAATCCATAATGAAAAAATGATTTATGTTTTTTTTAAGCAAAAAATTTATAAAAAACATTAAATAAAAAATTATAATTAAAAAATTTAAAATTTCAAAATAATTTTTTTTATCGGATCCGATTGACGCCGTTGACCTGGGACCATTATAGGATCTAAAACTGGTGGTTGCAATTGACCCGGGACCATTGTAGGATCTAAAGTGGATGCAATTCCTTAGCAACATGATTCTTTTGAAAGCAACCAGCAATTTATTCATTGATGCCTAGATAGTGATTTGGGTGCTTCTGACATAATAATTGCATGTATAGGGTCCAACCTCCTGGGTTTTTCGTTTTGGTCTTTCTGTTTGATTTCCAATGTTAATGTATAAAAAAATATCTTTATGAAAGTGTTGTTTTTTTCTCTAGTAAAAATTGTAAGTTTTGTTTGAAAGTGTGGTTATTATTAAAATGTCAAAAAATATACTACAATTTTATGAAGTTTTTGGTAAAATCAACATTCTCGACAATTATTAATTTATTAGAAGAACACTATTAAAAAAAAAAATCAAATTGATGATTTTTTCCTTCTCTTTTTCTATGAAATGACAATGAGCGGGTACTTAGTTCATTAATTCAATTTTTTACCCTATTCATAGAAGAATACCCTACCCATTACCTATTAAAAAATCACCACATAAATCTTTACTCAACTCATACTCGGTCTATATTAGTTTACCTATCCATTTAATACCTGTTAAGTTTAATTTATCAAAAATATTTATTTTAATCCTTATAATTTTCAAGAAAAGTTTTTTAGGTCCTTAAAATTTGTTATTTATTTTTTTGCATTTTAGTCATTTATTTATAAGTTTTGTTTGGTCTTTAAAGTTTTTGAAAAAAAATTTGGCCCTTAATTTTTAAATTTTATGCAATTAGATCCCTACATGTTAATAAAAAAATCTAAATAAATTGGTGAATATAAATAGGGTAAAGAGTGGATACCAATATCCTGAAACCATATTGGTAGTATGCATATTTTTACCCCTACTCACTTCATTGCTCATTGGACATTCTTAATAGGTATTTATTGAATTAGATAAAATGAATATCTATTTTATACTCGATCTACTCGTTATCCATACCTTTAATTTTATTACAGTTAAAGTTTAATCCATGTAACATAATAGTCCTCAAGATTTGTTCTATGATGCCTTAATTTTTAGAGTGACCTTCACAAGGGGACTATCTTAGTTTGAAAGGGTTTAGGGTTCCGTTTCACGTCTACCTTATTAACGTAATAGTTTTCTCGGATTCATATATAATTAAATAACATAAAATTACAAAAAAAAAAACATAAATCCTATCACTTCCACTATCTTCTCAGGCTAAACCACCACTGGAACCACCATAGATGTCTTTCCCTTCTCTTCCTTCAAAACCACTTTAGCTCCTTCCTCTCATTGCCAACCATTTTTCCTTCTCTTTCCTCACTCTCTCATCCAAACAACCCACACCAAAAAATGCCTTCTCCTTTGCCTGCTACCCTTTCATTGTCATCATCCTTCATCAACCTAGCCAAAGCCTATTGCCATCATTGATCCAGCCCTTATCACTACCGTCCTCTTCACAGTCAAAACCTCTCCACTATTGAGCCTCTTCCTTCATTCACTCCTACCATCATCGTTGTCCTCCTCTTTACTAAACTACTACTGAACTTGCCGTCCTCTCTCACCAACCTAGCGAACACCCATTGCCACCATTGACCCAACCCTCTACGTAGTCCTTTTTCCTTATCGAACCAGCTCTCCTCGTTGTCCTCTTCCATGCTGAATCACCATTGCCAAAAAACCTAGCCACGTACCTCCTCACCATTGCCAAAAAATCTAGTCATTGTGTCTCTTGACCTTTCGTTTTTTTTTTTTTTAAATTTTCACATCATTTAAATGTGGTTGCCATCTGTAAAATAGGTCTTATTAACGGGCCATGTGTGCATTTTATAAAAAAAAATTGAAAGAAAGCTAACCAGGACAATTGATTAGAAAAAAATTACAACTTAGATTACTCAAACAACAAAGATAAAAAAAAAACACTCTTAATTATAAAAAATTAACAACTTGATACACTAAAATTGTGATTAACTCATTTCACTATATTGTTGATTGTTATAATTCTCACAAAGAAAAAGGTTTTTAACACATCATCATGTTAATTATAATTAATTTTGTATAAGAAAAAAAATTTACAAAAAAGTATAATTATATTTTCCAATGGTATAAATCGTAAATCTATTTGAATTAACTTAAGATTTACAATAATGGTAACATAAAAAAATTACGATTATATTCTATTTTATAAGTAACAAACATTAGACATTCAATAAAGTTATTGTGAAAGGTTTTTTTTAGAGGAGAAATAAAAAAAAAACCCATTTGGATGTAAAGTTTCTATAATCAGTAGTGAACTTATTAGCATTGAAAAATTACCTTACTACTTATTGATCATTTATTTTTAGAAGGTGAACTTATAATATTCAAACTAGCATCTTTTTACTTATATGCACATGAGTCGAACTAGCATTTCAGAAAATAAATGATCTGCTAAAAGCAAAATAAATTGCGTTAAAAATAAAAAAGAAAAAGAAATACAAGTGGCAAGTTTAAGAAATGCTCGTGAAGTTATTATTTGTTGTGACAAAATGGAAACATTAAATCATAAAGCTTCGGAAAGAGAATAAAAAATGTTTTTGAGTACCATAAGACCCAACCTCTTTGTAATCAAGTCTTAAACTAATTTCAATTGAGATGATCTCAAAAACGACAAAAAAAAAAAAAAAAACAAACAAATGAAGTCAAGTCATTAAGATTGGGGCATATTGTCCCAAAGGAAGGGGCAAAAGAATAATCTTCTTTCATCGTCCTATTGGCTTTAGGAGGCAATGAATAGCTCGTCAGAAATGTCTAAAAAGTGTCGGTTTTGCATGTGTTGCTTTTGGGCATGTGAGTTAGTAGCTACTAGGAGCTAGTTATTTGCTAAAAATGTGGGCTCCATAAATGAAAAACATTGTGGTGGGCCCAAACTCATGTCCTTCACGTGCGCCACCGGCCCACGCCACCTCCCCCGTGGGCTCCGCCCTGTCGCGCACCACCTTTCCATTGTGGTCCATCCCCACCACTTCTCGCCTTTCCATTTTATTGAAATTGATCCATGGGGTCTCCCATGTTTATCCACTACTACGTGCACTCCATCAACTATGGACCCGTCAACCACCTCCATTATCCTCATTCCATTTGGGTCTGGGTTATCGGGTCTCAATGAGAAGTTGGTGCACGCACTCGGTATCTATAGACCAATAGTCAATTGTCCTGTCCCAGTCAACTGAGGTAATGATTTTAAGAACAGGGTCTGTGCTCTGTAGTGCCGACTTCAAATCAAGAGAGTCTTCGTTATGGCTAATCTGCACAAACTCACCACGAACTATATGCCCTTTTGTTGGAGATCCTATCAATGGATATTTTTTGTTTTAATTTCAACTTTTGAAGAAGGTTTTGATTGACATCCATTTCTATGATGACAAAAATAGCTATACTATAAAGGATTTTTTTTTATATATTTTATTTTTTTCAATCCTCCTAGGTGTTGACTGCACGAGTGGGAGAAATTAGAAACTTCAAGCTCGTGGGGTCCTACCCTACTTACGTTATTGGGCTGTGATCAGGCTGCTACATGTTCCTGTTTGTAAAAGTTCAGGCTAGCCTAATTACAGGACATCATTTCAAGATTAAGGTGCAAGAGTAGACTAATTAGGAACTTAAAACAATGAAAAAGAATGTGGTTTTTGTGGACATGTTGCCAGATAAGTGGGGTTTTTCTCAAACTCTGTAGGGACCTTGTTTCTCAAACTTCCTACCTGATAAATGATAGCTATAACATTCAAACTTTGTTTGGAGCTCCAATTTCAAATGATCTTGTTTCCATAGTGAAACTTATATTGGACCGTTCTATATTGTTTTAATTACTAGGTATTTTAGGAAAGATGATCTTGGCAATATTGGCACTCCCATCAATTAACCCCATTCCCACTTTCTTCAGTTTTTTTATTTTTTTTAGGATTAGTCCTAATTTATGTACTTATCGAGCTGGTATCCCAATTTGTCGTGGAGACCCAGTCATTCTCGTACAAAAAATGTAACACATGAGCCCAAGTCTCCTAATCAGGCATTTTTAAGTCCATTCGGCTGGACCAGAAAAGGTTTGTCATTTGTGGCAATGAGTTTTCCGATGGGCTTAGACTTTACATTTAAAACTTTGGCACAATATTTCAAGAAATAGTTTTTCATACAGCGTCAGAGACAAAAGAGAGTTTCTGTTCTACTTGATCAATCAATCTTGAGGTCTTTTCTCCTCCCAAAAATTAAAAAAATCAAAAGTTCAATTGAGGAGACATTGGTACAGAGAAAGGGATATAAAACAGGTAAAAGCATGTCCATCCTAGAAAGCATTAATCCTAGTAATAGAAGAATTAATCCCAAACTATAGAACAATACATAAGTTACATGGAACTGGAGGAAAAGCCAGTTTTCTTTTTTCCTGTTATAGACTTAATAGTCTGAACTATATTTCTTTCTTGTCAGAAAAAAAACCTAAGACAATGATAAAAGGAAAAAAAAAGAAAAAAAGAAGAAGATTGTCTCCGCTTACAAATAATCCTCCAAAGCAATGTCAACTGGGACCTCATATCCAAAAATCATGGAGTAATCATCCAACTCATCAGATGTAAACTTGGGCATCCTCCAGCTTCTTGCAACTTCAGAGTCATGGTCACTGGTTAGAAGCTCTAACACCTACACAGAAAGCGAAAAAAGGAAAAAGAAAAAAAGGTTCAATCAGGTTGAGTTGGTTGCCATTCTCAAGTAGACTAGTACCATATAGTTTGCATGTGCACCTCACTCATTGATGGACGCCATGCTGATGATTGTCTCACACAATAAGAAGCTGTTAGCACAACTCTATGCATTTGGTCTGAATCAAATTTCCCTTCCAGTCTCGGATCAGCTAGTTCCATGATGTTTCCAGATTCCATTAGAGGCTTTGCCTACACATGTGAGCCATTTTAGTGAAATGAATTGGAAGGACTTGAAGAGAACAAGAACTTCCAGTTTAGTTTTTGACAGACTTCAAGTGACAAGTCCAAAGTCCTAACGAGCCATTGAGTTTGTCTCTAGGTGACATTTTGTAACTGGGATTCCTTTTACAATTGTTTAAATTGTTGGATTTTGAAGTAGCATAGGATTTGGTAATCGATTAATGGCAGAGTCCAGTTATCCCTACATACCCATAAAAGAAGGTTTCGCTTGGATGAGTCCACTGGCATCCGGCCAGTTACGATCTCCAAAAGAAGAACTCCAAATGAAAAAACATCAGTTTTCTCATCCACAATTCCGTGCATGAAGTACTCTGGTGCTAAGTATCCAAATGTACCCTCGATTGGAATCACAGCATGGTGAGTCACCTTGTTAGGAAGCCATTTTGCGAGCCCGAAATCAGTTATCTATAGAGAAAAAGAAATCCTTATCATCCTTTTAATCCTTCATTAACTTTTAAGATTAAAAAAAATGATAAGAGTTTGCTTGTAATGGTTATTCACCTGTGGCTCATAATCAAGCCCTATAAGAACATTAGAGGCTTTTATGTCCCGATGTATTATTCGGTGCTTGCAGCATTTATGAAGATAATGCAGACCTCTAGCCACTCCAAGGGCAATCTTGTATCTTACTGGCCACTCGAGTGACTCACCTGTTTTACCTGATGATCAACCATAAAAATATCTGTTAAATAAACAGGCATCAGTTATTTCATCATCCACAATTTTGCTCTAAATCATGAATGATTCCTGAACTTGAAAATCATAACTATCCACATTCTCTTCAGAATGTTAAGACATGCTTTGCTATAGCCAGCATTTCCTTTATATTACATTTTCCAAATCTTCAAGTAGCATTCTAGAGTTACTGTGAAGAAAGCGCAGTAACTTCTTACTGTGCAATGCAGATGCCAAATTCCCATTTTGAGAGAAATTGAAAATCAGGTAGAATCCATTTTCAATGCAGCAGCCAAGTAAGTTAGCAGTATTTGGATGGCAGACATGGCCGATAATGCCCAATTCCATGAGGAACTCTTTCTCTTTGGTAGCATCCTTGTTGTCCTTGGCTAGCATCTTTACTGCAATAGATCTCCCGTCAGAAAGATCACCTCTATATACTTCTGAATACCCGCCTCGACCTACTATATTGTCTGATGATGCTCAAAACAAACCAAACAAGCATTAGACTTCTATTTATTTTCATCTGTGAGTCGATAAATCAGATAGCCTACAGCCCATACCCCACAGAAGCTAAGTGGCAGTTTACCTGGGTGAAAGTTATTTGTGGCATTGGCAATCTCCTCATAGGTGAAGCACTTTAACAAAGGCTGCTGCTTTTCTTTGTTGGACAAAATCTTGTTTCTTTTTCTCATTGGGGAAGCAAAGATTGAGGAGATAAGTTTGTAGGGAGACATCTGCTTCTTTGTCTTTGATTGGCCATCGAAATTGGTATCCAGAGGAGGGGACTCTGTAATGCTTGAGCCTCCTGAACTGTAGGTATCATCTTCTGTAGAGTGGGATTCTGCTTCGAGTTCATCCAATACAGTTCTTGGTGAAGAGTTCTGTCTCTTTGTTTCTGATTTGTTATGCTTTTCATCAGAGAAGGCAGTCCTGCTTCTACGAGTGTTATCGTCACCGTTCTTGCTCAACCACCTTGAACTTGGTTGATGAATTTCTGCCATAAATGAAACATTAGATGGGTGTCTAGAGTACTATCTACATATGCATTTTCCTTTAAATAAAACTTACCTTTTATACCAGCTGAATCCCGCTGTGTTTCACATTTCCCTAATGAAAGTAATGTGCAGGTTTCTGGGGCGTGCTCAAAACAATACCTTATACCTTCATGCCAAGTTCTAATATAGGCAAACAAAAAAGAGAAGTGTTGTGTCATTTATGAGTTATAATATCAAAGAATAAATGGGATTCTGTAGACTACTAATATGGCTTTCTCACCTATTGGATCGGTTTCTCAAACGATGAAGAAGAAGATAATCAGCTGAAATGGATTTTGCTTCCTCAACTAGCCCTCTAGCAATACGAGAGCTAAATCCTACTCTAGCCTCCAAATTTATCTGGAAAAAATCCAATCCACAGTAATCTGTAATTTCAATGATGTTGACGTAGAAAAAGATTGGACCATATATTATTCAGTAATTGACAGACATTTATAATGTTAAATACCTGCTTAGACTGGCAGGTCCTTGCAAATTCTCCAAGCACAGATATAACATGTGCCTTTGCTTGTCGAATCTGCGATTGGTTTCTCTTTATCGATTCACGCTTCTTTGACTCCTCACCAACTGTATTTAATCAAACATGCACAACATTACCATGTCAAGTATTAGTAGATGCAATGTAGGTTACTAAATATAAATGCAACTCATTTAAAAAACAAAACTATGCAACAGTGTTCACATTGGGTAGCTACTTAGTTCAGTTATATATGATCAGGAATTGAGATGACATAATGCATAGATATACAGTTAAACTTATAATGCATGGAGATTTATTTATTTTTTGTCCATGAAAGTAGTACTAAAGAAACTGACCAAGAACATGAACGGCAACAATGGTGTCATTTGGTTGTGCTAGAACTCTAATTGCCCACGAAAGGAGCTCATTGCTACGATCTGGGTCTAATGAGATGCCAATGAGTATTTTGGAAGGAGCTGGAGGGATCATGTTGTCTCCAACAAGTTGGCCGACCAGCTTGAGAGCTCTTTGTTTGAAAAAAGGAAAGTATTCAGTTATTTGCTCTGTTGATGAGTCCTGTCCATGATGGAAGCACTGAAACTCAGCTTAATAATATGTAGGAGGGAGCAACAGCATGATTAAGGTTAGTAGAGTGAGGTGAGGACACAATAGCTAGCTCTCATTCCATTATTCTTGTTTAAGAAGCATAATATGCCTTTTGCAGTGCAAAAAGAGAAGGGATTAGTCTCTCTAAAGAAATCTTTGTGATACAAGAATTAAGTGTTATGGTTGGGTGCTTTGGGGTATAAGCAAAGGCGATCGGAAAGTATTTGATATGTCTTGACATCTAAGCCAAAACTTCAAAAATTGGCTAAAAAAAGTGCTACTTCGTGGGATTTGGTAGGAGGCCAGGGGGGACTATTTGCCACTCAAAAAAGACCTTACCTTTTATCATGAATCAAAACGTTTAGAAGAAACTAACGGTTTCACTTTTCCACATGGATGGATGAGAGACAGATTCTTGACACTTGAAGGACTGGGATACTGCACGACATAGACATGGCAGTTCAATTTTGTCTTAGTTGTATTGTACCCAATGCATGCATATTTACAAGTAGATATTTGCAAATCATTAGGCTTAATCTATCGATTACAACATCACTTTCAACAACATTTTTCTCTTCAATCAATTCACCTCTAAAAAAATAAAATAAAAAAATAAATAAAGCATTAATCTTGATATGCATCTCAATATATGTATAGATATACCTCACCAAATTAGGATGTAATATTAGTATGATTATCAAGATTGCGTCAATGTTTTGCTAGAAATGAATTGCATGCTGAGATTACTAATGTCACTTCAATTTATGCAATTTTCAATTTCTTACAGAAGCAGCAAGTAAAGTTAGACTAGTTTGCAGGAGGATGTAATGTAAGGATGTGTGTGCCTCTGCAAGTCACATGATGCTACTGGAAATTTTTTATTCGAATATTCAATCATGGTTTCTTCCATTATGATGTGCAGAATATGGAGCATGCATAAATAGAGGCTTCAAGTTTGCTTTCCCAACCAGCTGCAGCAAGTCCTGTAACTTTAGTTCCAAGCTTCATTGATGAAACTGTTTCCATAAAGTTTCTTTCATGGAACCACATTCCATTGCAACTTTCCTTACCTATAACCAAGTTTTTTTTTTTTTTTCCCCAGAAAATAAATATAAATAATAAACAATTAATTGCTTAAAACAATATTCAATATTCACAAAAGATTGCTAGAAGACGTGGAGCTTAGATAAGTTTTTCACATTTTAACTCCATGCAATCCATTAATTTAAATGGCATGCATGTTTTCAATTGTTGGGTTACAAATAAAAGCAAATGGAATTCAACGATTGATCCATATCATCAATTTCACAAGAAAAAGAAAAATTATTTGAGATGGGGCTTCCCATAAAGTGGGTCCAACGGGCCAAGCTTATTGATCCACATAAACTCATGAAAGTGTTTGGAACTCAAGCAGGTCGATCCAAAAAACGTTGGAGCCGGAACAGTTTTTTGTCGTTTGGGCTAGCAGTTCTATATCGGGTTGTTGTTTGTAATTAAGCGATTCACTCTTGTCTCATCTTTACCCTTTTAAGCTTGGGCTTCGTCTTCTCTTGTATAAAAAAGGAAATTTGAATTCATTACACACAATTTTTCTTTTTATTAACCAGTAAAAATGAATCTTTTGTGTGTACAACGTCTATTTTTAATGGAATTTCACAAAATGAATGCATTATCCCCTGCCGACGATGTATACAGAATCAAATCAACTTGGGAACTTTTATTTTATTTTATTTTAAATTTTCATGTAAAATCGAATCTAGTTGTTGTTAGGTGGAAAAAAATAAAAATAAAATATTTTAAAATCTTGAAAATATGACGGTTATAACAACTCAAGTATATAATATTAATATTCTCAAAGGTTATACAAAGGAAGAAGAAGAAGCAAACAAGTGTCAATTATAAATATATTTGAACAGTAGCAACTTCACCGAACCATTCCCCTCCTGCCATGGTATTATATAAAAACTTTGGCTGTTCATGCTGGCAAAGGACATAAATATACTATCTCGTTCCTTACACAAGTTTTCCTATTTTCTTGCCATTTTCCTGCTTTTTCCATGATGCAAGTAAGGGTCTTGCATTTTTTGCTCCTCCATGGCACCAAAAACTCCATACCCTTTTTCCTCAGGACCATCACCATCATTTTCATAATCACTAGGCTGGTCAAGTTCTAGCAATTCTTCCTTATATTTGATACTTCTAATTCTTGTTGGCATCACTTTGCCTCTTGGATCATACCCTTTTAGCATGCTAACAACAACCTTCATGGTAGGCCTATTTTCAGGCTCACTTTTCACACATAGGGCAGCAATATTAATACTTTGTTTCAGTTGGTTTTCATCAAAATTGCCTCTAAGTTTTGGATCACCAAGATCCTTGAACCTCCCTTTGGTTATTAATGGTTCTGCCCATTCTGTTATAGTCCTTTTAACACCACCAGGGAGCTTCTCTATTGGTTTCCTTCCTGTGACAAGTTCTAGCAAGAGAATACCAAAGCTGTACACATCACAGCTCTCTGATACCTTACCCCACATGGCATATTCAGGAGCTAGGTACCCTAAAGTTCCCTTAACACGAGTGGTCATGTGGCTAACTCCTTCTGGGATTAACTTTGCAAAACCAAAATCAGCAACAAGAGGCTCAAAATCTGAATCCAGCAGTACATTGCTTGCCTTTATGTCTCTATGAATGATGTGGGGTGTGACCTCATGGTGCAAGTACCTAATACCAATATTAGAGTGAAATCATTGTTAGTAGAGTTTTTGAAATGGACTTGATTTCTAAAAAGTTTTTACATGGTTTTTGTTGAAAACAACAATTCATTTGGCTAGGTATGCATCATGCTATATGATATATATGTTTCATTTGGTTATGTAAATTATAATCAGGTACAAGAACTATAAGGAAAACTTACAGTAGGCCTTCTGCTGACCCAATTGCGATCTTCATCCTCCTTTTCCAATCTAGATGAACCTCCCCAGCAAATTGACCATGGAGATGGGACAGCAAACTAAGGTTAGGCATGTAATCGTATACAATGAGCCGTTGATCAGTGCCAGCACAATAGCCCCTAAGGCCTAGCAAATTCCTGTGCCGAACCCTTCCAAGAACCTCAACTTCTACAGCGAATTCCATTTCAGCTTTCGAATTCATGGCCTTCAGCTTTTTCACCGCAATCTTCGTTTTTGAAGCAAAAGAATAGGTTCCAATAATGTCAGGCCATTGTGACCAAAACCATATAATTATGAGATAAGATGAAGAAAAAATGGTTAATGCTTACCTGAAGACCATCGGTAGTTCTACCCCAGTAGACACTTCCAAATCCTCCTTCTCCAAGCTTATTATCTTCGCTGAAACCATTAGTTGCTGCATGCAACTCCTTGTAAGTGAATATCCTCCATGTGGCGTTACCAGTTCCACTTATCCTGTTTGTCCTGCAAAACCCACATCAATATTTATTTTCCTTCCAATGCAAATACACAATAAATAAGTCTGAACTCTGCAAGTGTTCAATGAGGATTGATTCTTCTACGTACGCTTCATCGACCTTCTCGTTCCCACAGCAACTCCAGGATGATCCCATAGTTTGCACTAGGGAATATTAATTCTTGCAAAAACAATGCAGCTGAGCTTCTACAAACCAACTTCTGCTTTTAAACAACACAAATGGCGATCTGGTCATTTTCATGGCCATGCCAGCCGACTCGGCCGGCTTGTCTATACTGTAAGGCTGTTTATATTATAAGGAGATATAACCAAATAGGTTGAATAAAATATATCAAAATTCAGGAACAGTTTCAACTTATAGGGATTTGTAGCACTTGTTTTAACCACAAAAGCATATGTTTCAGTCCTGGATTGATCCGTCAATCAACACAATCCAATCTCACTATATAACAGATTATAGCCCTTAATTACTCTCTTTTTTTCCATCACGATTTTTTCATACACATCTGACCCTTTTTTTATAAGCTGACCACGCCAACATGTAAAAATACATAATAGGGATGATAGATTAAAATAACTAAATATTAGTCGGATGGCTAGCCAATATCACAGTGCTTATCGAGGATTAAACAGCTGGATGTGGGTCTTGTTTACTTCATGCTGATGCTTAATTTTATTTTATATGCCATTATTAACTAAATACAAAATTTCTATAGCTTGCAAGAAGGATTTTAGCTTAAAGTGGACAACTGATTATTTCTTAACGCCAAATTGTCAAGCTTCAAACCCACTTAATTACCCCCAAGTTATCAAGCCTCAAATCCAGTTAATTTGTGCCTTTATGTATATACTAGGTTTTTGTCTGTCACGTGTTCCGCAAGTGTTTTATTCAACTATTTTATCGTATTTTTTTTAAAAAAATCTTTAATAGATTATTTTGAATTATTTATAACTAATATTTTTAGTATTTATTAAATTGATTTTTTTTTAAAAAAGCCTAATAGTTTTAATTATATAGAGCTTGATAATTTATAATTAATTTAATCTATTTCATTTTTTAAAACATATATATAAATAAAATTTTAATTGCATTGTAGTATAAACTATAGACATAAAATAGTTAGTAGTTAGGATATATATATATATATATATATATATATATATATATATAGTATGTGTATGACTATTTATAATTAGATCTTTTAAAAATAATAATTGCAAAAACTTTTGCTTTAATTTATTCACCAGCATAACTAGAAATTGAAAAAACAAATTTTATCATCATCTGCTCTTTAAAAATAATTCCATGTCTTTCTAGTAAAATTAGAAGAAATAAAAAGAGAAAAAATTTCATTGTTTATTATAATGTATAAGGATAGTTGTTTTAATAAAAAATGGTTTTTTTTCATTTTATTTTAGAATTTAAGTTAGATTAAATTATATGTTGAAACTAAGAATGATCTTACTATCAGCATATAAATATGATATGTATGGGATCTGTTATACAAAATAAATATAATTACATAGTAAGAAATAAATATAATAATAAATAATCTAATATTGTTACCAAAGTTTGATCACATATATTTAGTAAATATCTATAATTGAAATATTTTGCAAATAATTTAAGAAATAAAACTTTATAAATTATTATATGTCTATGATAATATTTAAGCTTTAATATTATAAAATTGATGTGTTTTTTCTACCACGATTAATTACTATCATTAATATAATCTTTCTAAATTATTTTGTTGAAAGGATTTATTTATTAAAATAAAATCTATTTCTATTAATATGTAAATTGCATTATGTGAATAAAATTTTTATTCATGGTCCTACCAAAATATCAGTCCAATAATATGGTATTAGAATTAATCTTTTTATTTGAAAGAGTTACTTTTAATTATACGTAATGGGTATAAAACTTAATAGTATAGGCAAGAAAAACATTTATGAAACTTTATATATATATATATATATATATATATATATATATATATATATATATATATATATATATATATATATATTATAGCAAATTCATCAAAATAAATAATATAAATTTTGTGGACCATTTTGTTCAAAGGAGTAAAAAGTAATATAATACAATAATAAAATATGTCCTATCGAAAAATAAGGATGCAATTTAATAATTCGATGAATGTAGTTTTATTATTTTTGAATTTGAATATTATTTGTATTTTTTGGCTTATTTCTAAGCCTTTTTTAGAGTTTTTATAAGCAAAATAAAGTGCTTATAACATAGTATATAGGTAAGGAGTGATTTATAAATCTTATTTATGTTTTTTAGGGCTCTATATTGTTAATAAATAAAAAAATAATAATGGAAAAAACCCCCATTTTTTTTTAATAGCTTCATAGCGTCTAATAGTTTCTAACTCATATCATTTCGCCATTTGGCTTCAACTTGTTAGTCAAAGCAACCAGTTATAAATTGCCTAGTGTTTGGCTTGGTACTTTTTTGGTTTTTTCTACTTGGAGTTGCAACATTAATTAGTAGTAATTAAGAAATGGTTTACGATTTCACTATATATGGACACGGAACTGAAAGATGCAGTCGTAATTAAGAAATGGTTTACTTTCCTCCATTTCCAAAATGTAGATCTTGCCTGTAAGGCTTTGTTTATTCATTCAATCGTGGTTTGGCCACATGTACATTGTCATGCATGGAGATGCACTTATTCAGATCACGACAGAAATCAACTATATTTGGATGGACATTTGGCAACCTTAAACTGGTCTTTGGTTGAAGGTTATCCATTGCTTTCTTCATTTCTAGTCCTACGTACCTGTTAAAATAATTCCCAGCTAAACACATGACGCCCAAATTGCTCTAGCTAATCACATATAAATGCCTATGGATGGATAATATATCGCGAACCTCAATTTTGGTTGGAAACACATATGGGTATTTTTTTTAATCAATTGCAATCCAAGCCATTAATCTCATTTAGTATGCAATTACAATTTAGTCTCCAAATGTTGGAATTTTGAAGAAAAAGATATTGAAGTTTTCATCTTAGTTCAATTTTAATTTAGTTATTGATTTGCTAGAAAGTAATATAAAACAATTTCTAAAACATCACTCAATAGCTTAAGCTTTTAAATTGAAATGGTTTTTTGACATGATATTGTTGGAAAGTGTCGAAATAAACTTGAAGAAGAATAGAAATATATAATGCTTAATTACGTGCGAGAAAATACCCCACATTGTCCTTAAGGTGATTATTGCCTCCACTTATAATGCTGCACGGATTTTAGCAATTCACCTCTAGGATACAATTTTCGCACACAAGGAACTGCAGACAAGCACTCCGAAATTCCTTCAAGAGAATATCTCTTAAAGTTGTAGAGTCTTAGAAGGAAAAGAATTTTGAGAGGAGAGGAGGATTGCGAGAGAATGTAATAATTTTTTTCGTCTCGTGCGGTAGTCCCCTATTTATAGACCACGATACCCTTTCATAACAAATATGATTGTTGATTCTAACAATCATAATCCAACGATCATAAGCTGTTAGACTCTAATCGACATAAGCGTTAGATGCTAACGGATATAACTTTTAGATCTAACGGACATAACCGTTAGATTCTAACGATCATAAGGTCCGAAAGTCGTTAATAACTAACTAGTTGCAGCAAAAAATTAAAAACATAATTAATTAAATAATTACGAATTTAATTATATTAAGAAATAAAAATAAATTTCTTAATCACACACGTGCACGTGTAAAGTGCTAAGTGCTAGTATTTGATTATTTAAATATATATAATTCCAACCAATTATCCTAGTTTTCAATTCCTTCAATCAAATATTTGAAAGTTTTGCCTCTTATTTTCATTCCTTTCCAATGTGGGATAAAATCCCACTTGAAAACACTTTCAAATTTCCTTCATAGTACGCTTAACTTATTATCTAACATTCCTAAGATCTCTAACAATCCCCCACTTAGATAATAATGTTAAGTCCTTATAGTATCACGCATAAAGAAAGATGTCTTTCGACTTGAATCTCCTTTTAGTGTAAATATCTCAAAGTCTTAATGGAATAAATGGTATCTTAGGCGATTGAACCAATATCCCTTGTATTAAAACTAAAAATACCACACACGTGATCTAATCCAACTTCTTTTAGAGATTCTCAAATAATTTTTTAGCACTTATATGGCCATGTGCTACATCCTAGATTTTCATAAACATTTCCAAAAGTGTACCTTTGAGCTTTTACCGGGAGCAACACCACTCCTTATATTTATATAGGTGAAGTTCCTATTAAGTTATGAATATATTGGTCATATTCCATTAATCCCCATTAAGAGTTTATAACTCATCCTCCAAACTTTAGTAGTACTAGTTAACTTGGAATGGTAACATAAGTGAAATATCCTAGTACTTCCACAACCACTTATTAGTAACTTGTTTTTACTCATTGAACTTTTAACTAGTGGCAATACTAGAGAAAAGTTGGGTTTCTATTATCGGTGACTCTAGGAGAAGGATTTTAAACCCATTCCAATTGAAGTTTTCTTTACTAAATCTTTAGTAAGCCATTTTATAAACGGATCCGCCAAGTTGTTACTTGTTCTTACATATAAGATTGTGATAATTCATTCAAGAATTAATTGTTTGACATATTCATGTCTCAAGCTTATATGTCTAGATTTTCCATTGTATATCTTACTAAAAGCCCTAGACATAGTAGCTTCACTATCGTAGTGTAAAGAAATGGCTGGCATCAATTGTGGCCATAACTCTATTTCTAACAATAAATTCCTTAGCCATTTTGCCTCTTTTCGTGCTGCCGCGGTGCAACAAACTCGGATTCCATAGTGGAATGAGTTATACACGTCCGTTTCTTAGAAGCCCATGAAATAGCTCCTCCACCAAGAGTGAATATCCAACCGGATATAGACTTGTTATCTCTAGCACTTGTTATCCAACTAGCATCAGTATATCCCTCTAACACCGATGGATAACCCTCATAAGATAGTCCTAAACTCAAAGTTCTTTTGAGATAACCAAGGACTCTAGAAATTGCTTTTCAATGATCAACACCGAGTCTACTAGTGTATCTTGAAAGCTTACAAACCGCAAAGCAAATGTCCGGCCTAGTGC